ACCTAATTGATCCTACCTCCTACACCAAAAATTATATTTAACTAAAAATAAAGAAGCCCTGAATTTTAATTGGAAATTAGAAACATCTACATATATCTATGTGTACTAATGATGCTCAGACTAAAAAAAGAAAAAGGTATTTCAGCTCTTCTTCATAGAAACAATGACCAACTCAATATTGACGACTATACATAAATAGCAGTAAGATATATATTATATATGAATGTTAATATATAATTGGTGCATATTACATCATCAACATACTAATATATTAATGATATACTACATCTACATAGAGAGAAAATGTGCGTGCATGCATAATGAATATCACTTATGCCCAGCTTATAGTCTTGAAATACCATTTCCCAGGGTAGGGCAGTCTAGGACAAGAAATCTATACAATGATCCTGGAACAGCTAGTCCTACCAGATAATAGGACAACTACCAACGACTATCAGAGTTAAGTCAAAAGGATTCATAAGGGCTGGGGTTACAGCTCAGTGGTAGAGTGCCTGCCTAGTATTCGTGAGGCACTGGGTTCAATCTCAGCACTGCATATAAATAAATAAAATAAAGTCCATCAACAACTTTAAAAAAAAAAAAAAAGGACTCATAAGACAAATTCAAGAGGTTCCCACTGGCCAAAGATGACACATCTTCGTATACTTGGAATATATTCAAATACCTCAACCAATTTGAATTCATAAGTTCATAACGATACAAATCAACAGAATGAAACAAAAACAACATAATAAAACACTTCATTGGTCATCTCTGGAAGACATCAAGAAACAAAAGTATTATCTTGCTGGGCACAGTGGGGCACACTTATAATCCCAGCAGCTCGGAAGGCTGAGGCAGGAGGATCGTGAATTCAAAGCCAGCCTCAGAAACAGCAAGGCACTAAGCAACTCAGTGAGACTCTGTCTTTAAATAAACTACAAAATAGGGCCAGGGATGTGGCTCAGTGGTCAAGTGCCACAGTGAAAGTTCAATCCCTAGTACCCAAGATAAAAAGTATTATTTTGAATCATGGTAGAAGAGAGAATTAACATACTTAAATACTCAAACTTTCTCAGGATAATCTGATAATTTATGAGAAAACATTTCGTTTTATAGAAATATTTCATATAATAAATGAAGAAGGAATGGTAATTAGAATATCACTTTCAGCACCACTAAACTCAGAGGATAAGAGACAACTAGACATACTGTGCTTCCTGGGAGAAATACACATCATCACCCATGACTTGTTCTTGCCAGAAAGTAACACCTGAGTCTAACCCAATCTCTAAATTTAACTACCACGTGACAGGAAATTTAGAGAAATGGAATGCCAAGGTGATGTGTTCCTTATTAGATAGTTAATGCGCTGTCTATTCACAACCATTAGAAATCATCTTAAGTCCTCAGCTTTCTCTAATACTATCTTCCCAGATCCTTTTCCCACCCAGTTTTAGGAGTAGAAATTGACTATATCACTTTAGAGATTTTTGATTGCTGACTTTAAATGAACCTACACAGATAAACAATCCTCTTATTCAACTCTTGATTACCTACCATATTGCTCCAAACTGAAATTTCAATTTTTTGCACTTTTACAAGTCTTCCTAATTTGCTGATAAACAAAGCCAAGATAGGCCAGTAGTTCAGCAGAGAAAGCCCAGGAAGGAGACAGCCAAGAACAACTTTCCTGGGGAATAAGAACAACCCTCATGGGGACAAGACAAACCTCAGAAGAACCTGAAACCAAAAAATCATCCATTACAAATGCTTAAAGAATAAAGGAGGGCTGGGGTATAGATGAGTCTAGAGTGCTTGCCTAGAGGTGAAGCCCCTGGGTTCAACCACCATGAAGGAAGAGGAAACCATTCTTAAAGGAAACTTTGATTACAATACCTCAAATATAAAATAACAATAAAAACAGACATTTTTGTTTGGTTCATCAACTGGCACTGATGGGAATTTCAAAATAAGAGTTTCTAAACAATGTTGAGAACTACAAAATGTATAGAGTTAAATCTGTGGCCAAGATAATTTCAAATGGCCTCTTTATTAAAATGACAGCCACAGTACTCAATCTTCAGAATATATACATACACACATTAATTTTGTGATCACTGAATCAAAATACTGAGAAGTATGTGTTCTCCTTTTTGAATTTTACAAGAAAGTTCTCTAAATGTGAACATACATTTCATTTTATTACATTTTTGGGAAAATCTGTATGTCCCCCTTTGAGATTGGTGCACGGGGGTGGGGGCTTATTAAATAAATAGTTTAAGATGAAAACTCAGTTTTGGATTCTTTACAGCGACTGTCAAACGGATAATCACCAAAAGCCCAAACTGAAGAAACAGTTCTCAATTGCGTGGATATTAGTACACACAGGGAAAACAGCTTATGGTGTTTCAGAACACATTGTAATGAAGATATGTTCTCAGAAAAAAAAGAAGGAAAAAAGAACCACCCCTCAAGATGGCATATGGGGATCTGAGATGAAGAGGACAAGAGAGGTGGGAAAGGGTAACTGCGAGTGGGCTGCACACAGGAACGTGTGCCAGAAAGGAAAAAGAACCTACTCATGGATGACAGTGTTCTGCTTTGGCAGAGATGAGACAAATATAATAATTCAAAAGTATTCTCCGTCCATGAGCACGTTCTCATGTAAATCAATGACCTTGGTGCACACCTTCTTTACTCTCTACAGAGAATGTTCAAATCGTTATTAGTTATTGTGCTCAGGTCTTTTTCATTCCTACTGATACATTTACAAAGATATGACTGTGCTTTCAAAGCAAGACAGCTTATTCTTTTTAAGAATTCTCCTTTCTCCTTCCTTTTCTATAATCATATGTTCATTTTATTCTTATTTCTTCCCTCAATATACTTTTCATTTCACTTTTTTTCCTCAACTCCTCAAAATATTTTCCATCTCCTGTTGTGTGCTCTATGTCATTCTCAGGAAAAATACACACTCACACATACATACACTTAAGTCTTGAGGACCAATAAAATGAGTTATTCGCCAAAGTCCAACTCAACAGATTCCAAGGACATAATCAACATGATCAGTCATTGGTCAGGATGAAATAATCACTTCAACCCACTGATCAAGTCACAATAAAAAATAGATAACAAGATAATAAAGATTACTAGTGAAGATGCAGAGTAAGTGGAACATTCCTATGTGATGGTAGGATATGTCGACTGGTACAGTCAGTAGGGCAAAGAGTTCAGCAAAAGACAAATTTATGCTCTGTATGTAATTTGGCATCCCTTCTCCCAAATTAAAGAACTTGTATGGGAATGTATATAGCAGAATTATTCATAATACCCTAAATGAAAACCACCCAAATGTCCATAAGTAAAACATTTATAAACAAAAGACAAGAGAATTCTACATAGCATTAAAAATAAATGAAAGTACTTACACATACAATAAGGAGAACAAACCTCAAAAACATTATGCTAAATTAATTCTGACACAAAAGAACACATATTTTATTATTACATTTATGTAAAATGTCTAGATGAGGCAAATCTACCAAGACAGAGAACGAATGGGTGGTTGCCTGGGGCTGAGATTGAAAGTGAGAAATGACTACAAATGCCCATAGGGGCCTTTGAGGGATGGTGGGAATGTTCTAAGACTCCAGTGTAATAAAATATGCACAACTGTATAAATCTATTTTAAAACACTGTATTGTACATTTCAAATACATAGTTTATATAGCATATAAATTATACCTCAATAAAGTTTAAGAAAGAAGATATTCTATTAGTATCATTTTCATATGGTAAATATTATCATGACAAGTTATCTATTCAACAGATAACATTGTAAAGTTAGAGAAATATTTTCATGAAAGAAAAATCTGACAACCTGGACAGAAAAAGGTTATTAAAATGCCCAGCCAGATTCATAGCATGTTAAGTGTTATACTTTAATTCTCTTAGCATTCATACAGCAGTCTGAAATATGCCCTTCATGTAGTATGCTCCAGGTAAAAAATTCATCAAATTTATAGCTTTAGGATATTAATTCTATTCTTTTTATATATTAATGGGTATACTAAAAATAGATTATTTTACATAAATGCTTTAAAAGTATAAATCAAGAATTACTGGCAGTTTAACATTGGCATTATTAAGAAAAAGTGGTATTTTCCCACATTCCCATTGTTTATATTTTTCTGTATACATTTAACAGACCTTTTCACACTGTACCATAACGGGTCCATCTCCATGTCTGACTCACTACATCTGTGTAAGCTTCTTGCAGGAAAAAGAGATATTCTCAATGACTTGCTCACAGCTCTGATGTAATTGTTGTTCATTAAATCATTGTTGAGC